TTATGATAAATTTTCCAATATCATGAATGAGGATAAGTGAATTACTTAAATATGGAAGTGCGTAAATGTGATTCATTATTTACGTTCAGATAATAAATCACAAAATATATACATAAAATTTTTAGAGTTTGCACGCAGCACCTTATTAACATACATTAACATTATTGAATAAAGTAATGAAATTTATCAAATGCGTACGTGTTCTTCTTCAAAAATCTGTTAATCTTATTTTGTTACATTTTAAATATAATTATGCAACATATAACCAAAAATTTATATCTCAAAATTATATCTCAAAAATTTTTTAAATACCAAATTGAAAGAAATTTTACAAGTTAAAAGAAATTTTATGACAAAATTTTCCTTCGATATTTCACGAAAAATATAAAATATGAAGAATCATATTACGTTAACAGGAAAATGCATAGAATTATATAGATAAGTATTTAAAACGGAGTTTCCCAAAGTGGGCGCTATCGCCTCCCTGCGGGCGCTGGAGGGATCGGTGGGGGGGGATGGCATTGCTGGCCTCAGGAACAGTAGGGGGGCGTTGAAACATTTTTTAAGCAAACTTATCCACTTGACTTTACAAACATACAGTTATGTATCAAATTTGATTAATATATTACGAATTTATTTAATATTTGATTTATTACTAATAATAGTAAGCAATCTTATGTTTATGTGCAATTTCTTTGTTATTTTATTTTAATAAATAGCTTTAAAATTTCAGTTCCAAGTTGTTTTATTTCGAAACTAGCTTTTTGAAATTCAAGAATTACAGACACATTTACGCTTACAATTTTATTATTAGTTGAGATAAAGATAGAGATTTCCCGGGGGCGCTAAAAAAGATTACCTTTGAAAAGGGGTGAGCTAAAAAGTTTGGGAAACTCTGATTTAAAATATTGCATATACAGGGTGTCCTAGACCATCCGTACACCCCTTTTCTTTCAAAAACTAAGCATTTTAAAGATAAACGTTTCCGACAAAAATTGTATGGTTTTAAAGGAACATAAGATGGTGTCATTGGTTTAATCTTGGATGGCATCGTTAAGGTCAAGTTAAGAACATCTATAATTTTTTAAATGGAACCACGTATTTTTTATTGCGTATTCTTATAGCTTATGTCAAGGGCTTTCCAAAACACTATAATAAAGTATTTTTTCGTCAAGTACTTTTCGAGTTATAAGGCTTGAAATCATTTCTTAATTTTAGATACACCATAAAATATCTTGTAAAATATTCATTTTTCGATTATTTTTTATGTACAAAATAATGAGATGAATCAATTGGTGTAAAGAAAACATACAGTTGTTTTTAAGAAAAAATATGGAAATGTTAATTGCAAATTACATATTTTTTCTTAGAAATAACTATGTGTTTTCTTTACACTAATTGATTCATCTCATTATTTTGTACATAAAAGTATTATGGTAAGATAATCGAAACATAAATATTTTACAAGATATTATGGTTTATGTAAAATTAAGAAATGATTTCAAGCTTTATAACTCGAAAAGTACTTGATGAAAAAATACTTCATTATAGTGTTTCGGAAAGCTCTCGACATAAGCTATAAGAATGGGCATTAAAAAATAGGTGGTTCCATTTAAGAAATTAAAGTTGTCCTTGACCTGACCTTAATGATGGCACCATCTTATGTTCCCCTCAGGACCATACAATTTATTTTGTCGCAAACATTTTTCTCTAAAATGCTTAGTTTTTGAAAGAAAAGGGATGTGCGGGTGATCTAGGACACCCTGTATACAGAGTACTATATACAGAGCACTATATACAAGCTTGTGAGGAAATAGAATGCAGTAAACTGAACAGAAAAGTCTTATACCATTTTCGCAAAATGACAGAAATATTAAATATTAAAATCGGACAAATGAAATAAGAAGCGCTCCTTTCTTCCGTCTAATTTTAATATTTAATTTCAGCTATTATTGCGAAAATTGTAAAATGGTATGAGACTTTCTCTTCAATTTACTAATCTCTCCTTACAAGCGCTTGTATATAGTGTTCTGGGATGCCCTGTATACGCAATTATTAAAGTACGACATTAAACAACGTCACATTATGTCTTATATTTTATATTATGGTTAAAGTTCTCTTAGCATGTTAAAGCGATGTACGATAATGACAAATAAATAATAATAAGAAATAATATTTAAAAAATAATACATATGATATTAGAAAGAACTTTTAAATATTAATATTTACTTACACATCATCTCCTTTGTCATTGATATAAGATGCTACAAAAAAGCCTTCCTTGTTATAAAAGTCGTTATGTAGAATACCAACATATCGCATCTTCAATGTATAATTTCCAGGTAACAGTTTATCATTAAAGTGAAGAACTAAGATTTGTGTTATATTATCATAATTATGCATTGCCGGTGTATAGATAATACCATTGTTACTAAACAATGATGTCATTGCTTCGTTTATTGTCAATTTCAATACATGTAAATGCAAATTTTGCGTTACATGTCGAATTGTAATGTTGATATTGGATTCTCCGTCAAAAGTAAAATTATCTTTCACAATGTACGGTATTAGCTTAATATTGTAATGTATCGGAACTACGTGGTCTGGTAAACGATAATTAATCGCGGTATCGTTGTTTGAATCTTTGTCAACAGAAATCGCTGTAGTAATAAATAATAGTCCAAGATTTATTAACAATTTCCAAATAGCCATGTTAATACTCTTTTCAAATATCTGCAAAAATATTTTCAAAATAACATGATATAAACTGTAATTTTTTTTTATATTTTATATTTTATATTATATTTTTATATTTTATATTTTTTATGATAGATATGATAGATTTTATATATATATATTTATTATTTTATATTATTTTGTTTTTTATTTTATATTTTATATTTTGGAGATCTTAGCATTTTAACATATTTTAACGATGATGAAGGCAAAAGTATGAAAAATAGACAATAAGATAAGATAATAATAAAATAGATAATAATACACAATAAATAAGGAAACAATATATATGATATTAGAAAGAACTTTTTTCAAATGTTATTATTTACTTACATAACCGATATTTAACTCACGAGATGAAATGCAGACTGTGAACTAATACCTTTTATTATTTGGTGTTCTCTAATCTGGAGGGTCCGTTAAAATGTCGCCCATTTATGTTGACGAACCCGAAAAGACTAAATCCGAAAACTAAATCCGTTCACTATTTAAAGCCACGGGAATGTCTATTGTTTTCGACCACAATAGAGTTACAGGTCATCATTAAATACATGTATATATATTTAAATATATTTATGTTGTTGTTTTCGTTTCGTTTTCGACTTTGTAATTTAAAATGAGATCAAACAAACGATCACAAAATCACATGTTGTAGATAATTTTTTAATTATTATTATTTTAGTCAATTTATTTTAATTTTTAATATTATATAAAATTGACGCATAATCATCCGTGGTCAGCTCATATTGCTCGCAAAAATTCAATTTTGTGTTTTCGCATAAAGCCTTATTAATCTCTTGAATGCTAACATTAACTTCATTTGGAATAACATTTTGAAAACTTGGAATAATTGCAATAGTGTCACTATAATTGTCATAGTAGTACAGTTTCCAAATAAATTACAATTTATATAAATAGTCTTATATATTGTATAGTCACAAAACTATGCAAAATTCGCAAGGTTGATAAGTAAAAATAAATTAAAAACACATACCATGAATTAATACTTGTGATGATTCATTAGAGATCAACAAAAGTATATTTGTAGAATTTTGTACATTAACTTGCATAGGGATTAAACGATACCAATCAATATTATCTTACTCATTCATGCAAACTAACTTCTTATTTTGCATATAAAATTCTAATAATTATTATTGTATCGTGTTCGTTAGCAAAATGACTCAGCACGTATTACGTCCATTTAATTCAAAAATGTCTATTTTTCGTTACAGTTAAATATAATGATTTATGAACAATTCATGTAGATAAATAAATGAATAAATATATATACATATATATATATATATATATATATATATATATATATATATTTATATACAAATTATAATTCAATTTATTTATAATTTTATTATATGCAGTCAGATCTATATTGTATGTGCAATGTAAAATCATTTGAATAAAAGACAAAAAAAACAAAATTATGAAGCATAAGTTTAGAGAGATATTAATGTAGATTTGTTAAGAAAATTATAATGTAATAAGTTATATAAGTATAGATAAATCCACATTAATACTGTCAAATATATCTTATATCGACGCATTCAAAATATAATAATGATTAATTTTTTCATTCTGAAAAAGATTAGAAAATATTTTGTAAAATTCTTAATGATTATTTGTAAACGCATGCTATTTCTATCATTCATAAATTATTGTTGTTTAAAAATTTTAGTAACAAAATTTTTAATTTTCTGATAATTCTTAAGTTATTATTTATTGTTATTTATTGTAATTGTTGTTTATTGAAAAATGTAAAATATTATTCATTTACAAAATAAAGTTTTGATGTAAAAAATAAAGTTTCACTTATATAGTGTTTTATTGATAGATTTATTATATCAGCAATTTAACGATAAAACATTTTAAACTTTCTACTTTTAAGTTGAATTATTATTACACTGAATACTTCACCAAAAAAATGTCTATGTGAAAAGATAAACATATTACTTACTGTGTGTGTAAATATTTAATAAGACCATTTCGAAGAATCTCGTCGGAAATTATATGTTGTAACATACCCATTATAGCGGGTACTGCAATAATAATAAATAAATTCAAAAATTGATATACATAAAATAATAATAATAAAATATATTATCATCCATAAATTTGTGAACATAGCTAATAAAAGAGAACATTAAAGATAAAGATTGATAAACATATCACTAGTAAAAATTTTTCTTATTGTTTCTTCTTTTTCTTTAGATCACCTATGTTCGTAAACTTGAATGATAACTTATTTATTTTATCGTACCCTTGCCATAATTAGTATCGAAGAGTGATTCAATTTCATTGGGTCTATTGACTTCTAATATAATTGAGCTCATATTCATATGAATATCCTTCTGAAGAATTGTTTGCTGAATATTAACAACAAAGTATTCCATTATTCGTCAATCCTCGAACATCTGAAATATACATAAGTTTTAATTTCAATTAATTAAAATTGGATTTAAATTAAAAATTTAATATTAAATTAATAATAAAATATCAGTTACTATGATATATAATAATAATAATAAAGAAATCTGTCTTAAATTCTTAAGTAATCATAATCTAAAATTATTAGCAATATATTTTTTCATATAGAAAGTTACTAATCATTATATTATATTTTGTCATATAGAAAGTTACAACTGTATTATATTATATTTGAATTTAATTGAAACGTTTTTGCGAAATCTATTGCAAAATTTGCAATAATGAACCTACCTGATTGAGAATATATTCTTCGAAAAACGTCGTCAAACCCTCACTTAACCATACATGAGACCACCATGATGGAGTGACTACATTACTAAGCCATTGATGTGCCATTTCATGTACTATTATCTCCGCTACATCTAGTTTAGCAGATATTGTGTTGAAATTTTCATTGTATGCAAAGCTTGTTTCACTAAAAATTATTATATAAATACAGTTATACTCATGTCAAAATATTTTATAATATAATTACGTAATCTATTGTAAAACATTTTACTTAAAATAATTATAATATATAAATGTGGAAGTTTATATATACAATAATTATTTAAAGTAATGAATTTTTATATATTTAAAAAATGTATAGATATACAGAGAAAATATGTGTATATATGTATATCTAATTTATATTTTAAAATTATATCTTTTCAACTTTTGTAGAATCCAAAATAGAATTCAATTATATTAATTATCTTTATTCTATTTGTGTATCTGTGTGTGTGTGTGTGTGTGTGTGTGTGTATGTGTGTGTGTGTGTGTGTGTGTGTGTTTATACATGTATAAACGCCCGCGTGCGTGCATGCATATACTTTATATTTTATAAAAGTATTCCACAGAAAAAAATTTAATTTTGAATTCAATTTTAAATTATTTACATAACCAAACAATTTTAAAAATACCCCTTTCTATAAAAAAAATAATTTTTATTATTTTAAAAACTAAAACAATAAATAATAATTATAATTTCCAGTAAAATAAGTAATCTATTCTTTCGTGAAAATCTATAGTTATAATATTCAATATTAATTAAGCAGAATTAATGATTTGACAAAAGTTAAAAAAATTTTGAATTTATATGACACAAGACATCTGAAATGCTTTATTCTATTGATATTTTTTTTTAAATTGCATATATTACACAAAAATAATAAGTCCCCAATTTTCCATGGCATTAGATATGAATCGTGGGAGTATTACAAGATCCATTTTGGAACTTCAGAGGTGCTGTTGGTGTATTCTGTCAATAGCCTTTTAGATTTTTGAACAACTTCTTGTGCAAATTTTGTATGCGGCACTACTTTCGATCTGCACCATATATTAATGGTCTCATCTTCAGTAGGAACGCGAACGTAATCAACCACCACAAATGCTACGAGATAAGTTGACATGATGGGAGTCGTGTCAAAGTGCGTCCATATCATGCCATTTTTATTATCCTCCGATTTTTCCCGTATTGGCATATTGGATAGAATTGTATAATTTTGATGATGTTTTATAGAGATATCGAAACTAGCTTTTAATGCTGGCTCATCCCAACATGGAAACGCTCGTCGCGTATAAGTCGGTTTGAAATGCGTTGCAGCCAACCACCTACCACATTTCAATGACACGCTTTTAATTATGATAAATTTTTTGTCGTCATGAATAGGAATAAGTAAAGTGCTTAAATAAATATGGAAACGCGTAAATGTGATTCATTATTCACGTTCATTATAGTATATAAAATTTTTGCATATTATTAACATATATTACTAACATATATTATTAACATATTATTAACATATATTAATGCTATTGAATAAAGATATATAAACGCTATTGAATAAAGATATAAAAATGTAAACGCCAATAAAATTTATCAAATGCGTACGCGTCTACCTCTTCAAAAATCTGTTAATCTTATTTTGTTAAATTTTATTGAACATAATTATACGACAAAATTATACAATCGTCCCAAAAATTTTCTTCAAACATTTTAGAATTTTAAAAAAATTGAAGGTAAAATTTTACTCCGTAATTCTATGGAAAATATAAAATATGAGGAATCATATTACATTAATAAGAAAATACATGGCATTATATAGAGAAGTATTTAAAATATTGTGTGTGTGTGTATACAGGGTGTCCCATTTTAAGTGTCCATCTCAAATATCTCTCTCATTTTTGATTTTAGAGAAAAATGGTTCAGATATGTTTTGTATGGTTTCGAGGGGGTCATAAGATGGTATCATTGATTTGATTTTGAAGAGTCATTTGAAGGTCATGTGAAGATTACCTCAATTCTTTTAAATGGCACCCCTTATTTTTTATTACATATTCTTGTAGCTGACCTCGAGTGCTTTCCAAAACACTATAATAAAATATTTTCTCGTTAAATATTTTTCGAGTTATGCGGCTTGAATAATTTCCTAATTCTACATAAATCATAAAATATCTACTAAAATATTCATTTTTCGATTATTTTACCTTAATACTTTTATGCACAAAATAATGTGAGAAATCGATTGGTGTAAAGAAAACACATAGTGTTTCAAAGAAAAAAATATGTAATTGTTAATTGCAAATTACATATTTTTTCTTAAAAATTATGAATATGAGATATGAATCGTGCGAGTACTACAAGATCCATTTTTGGAACTTTAGAGGTGCTGTTGGTGTATTCTGTCAATAGCCTTTTAGATTTTTGAACAACTTCTTGTGCAAATTTTGTATGCAGCACCAATTTCGATCTATATATTAATAGTCTCATCTTCGATAAAAACGCGAACGTAATCGATCACTACAAACGCTACGAGATAGGAAGACATGATGGGAACGGCTAGTAAGAATTCGATTCGAATTCAGCCGTTATTGAAATCCAATAATTTAAGTTACTCTCATCTGTCGTATCTCCGATTCGCGTATAGATACACGGAGTGTCGCGCTAATGCTTCGCATGAACTTGCCGCGAGGCACTACCGTATGTTGACCCGGATTGTTTACATTATAAACAAATATATCTCCAATAAAATGTAAAATATTAGACATTATGTAATTAAGTATTTAATCTGTATTTGATTACGATCCGGGCACACCAAGTTTTCATAACTTACTTCGATTTAAAGACTGCAATTTGAAACCTGCGTACAATTTTTTTTTCAAATTATATACATTATATAAAAAATGTTTTAAGAATTAAAATAATCCTAATTCTTATTAAATATTTTAAACATCAATTTTCTCTGAATAAATATAAAATGGGTTTTAATTTTTCTTAGGAGGATTTATGTATAATATTTCTATAATGTAAGATTGATATTTCATGGCAAATATTATATCATATTTACAAATGCTCTTAAGTACTTGGCTAATAGTAATTATTGATTTCATATTTATTTTATATTTAGTTTTGATATTTTATTTTTTAATATTTTTTTAGGAAAATTATTTGTTGAGGTTTTATTTTTTAGAAAAATGATTCTGTGAGGGAAAATTATTGTAAATTACTTTTAAGGACTTTCTTCATTAAATATTTTGTTGAATACTAAGTAGAATATTCTTTATGTACGTGGCGTATTTTTTCTTACTTTTGTAAGAATTTTTTTCAAGGGATATACGTATTTAAGTTATTCATGTATTCATGTACATTCGTTCACAGTCACGTAATTCGCATTCAGTCAGCAGTTATTTCGATATTTTATCCGCGACTCTTATCCATGTGCCGTATTAAGTTGATTCATAACTGAATAAAACTTAATCTACAATAAAAACCATAATGCCGCTAATTCGCACGATAGTCATCAGAGTCATTACCGATCTTTCATCAAACTTCCAAAGCAATCGCTTTTCCGAAAACAATCAAGCAGTAATTCCATTATTTTTATCAATTTTTTTTTCTTTATATTTCATCTCTTCCGATATATATCCTATGGGAGATGTATAATCTCTTATCTAATTAGATGTCATACCCATGTCCAAACGAACACATACACACACACACACGCACACATATACACATGTTCATATGTAAGATTAGAGAATAATTATTATCTAATTATTATCTAATTATTATCTAAATATATAATTATTATCTAAATATATAATTATTATCTAATTACTATCTAATTATTATCTAAATTCTATCTTAATTGATTTTATCGTTATAAATTACGTTAACTACTCTTTTCTGATTAATAATAAATTCACTCGGTAATTTTAATGAAATTTTGCATTCCATTTAATTAACTCCTTTCATCATCCCTACTTCTGAATTACACTAAGTCCTGTCTCCAGTAATAAGGATTAAATTTCTTTATCAAAAAGGGATCATTGAATGGATATAGGAACATATCATAAACAATGTAAAATTTCTCTTTGATGTTTTCGACCTCTCTGACGGTTCGCTCGAATCGATCCTGCACCTAATCTCGGGAAGTGATTGTTACGCCCTTTCTTCTTTCTTTCCTCCTCGGGCTTAAGCATAATAATGTTGCACGATGTTATCATTTGTTATTTATCACTATAGCAAGATATTATCTCGCCTCCGTATGTCCATAATTTAGGAGGCGTAACATTCATATGTAATTATATGATTATATGTAATTATATTCCTACTAAAATGTGATGCTCTATTATCTTCTTTTATCAAAAACATACGAAAATGCGAATCACATTTGTCATCAGACTATCACATAATCACTGTAGTTCTATTACTGTCAAAGTAATAAAACAACTGCGCATTAGTACATTTATGCATTTAGTATATTTATTAGCATATTTATTACAAAATCCTTTTTTAGATGAGAAATTAATAATATGCATACGCAGAAAATAATTCATAAAAAGAGAAATATGTAAATTATATTATTACAACGAATAGCTTATAGAAAATAAAACGAGCGAAGTCAAATACCTTTCAATCTGTTCCATCGTTTTATTGTCGAGGATGAACCCGCTTATTATACTGACATATTCATTTATTATGTCACATCACATATGTCGAAGAAAGATATTACTATAGATATATTTCTTCCGATATTATGATTCTTTTATAATTATAGCTTATAACATGTGATCTTTTTACCCAAATAAATGAGGGTATAAAACACAGTTAAATTAAAATATGACACATATACACACGTGCACTTATCCGAATAAAATCGATCAAGCATGTAATTGCTATAAAAGCACGATGTTATATATATGCTTGATATTCGATTCACTTCCATCGGAAGAGCAAAGTTAGCAGATTTTCCTCTGTAAAAAGAATTTATTTTCAAAAGTTTAATATTCTATTATTATATAGTAAAACTTCGAAAGTATGTCAAATGTGTCCATCTGTGTTCTTTTCTCGTTATTAATTGTAGGCATATTTTCTCTTACCATAAATAATAATGTTACATCGTCAGAAAAACAGCCTTCCTATAGAATGTTACATCGTCAAAAAACGGCCTTCCTACAGATTTAGTAACATCGGTAAGTTAATTTTCAACGAATATGTAGAAATAAAAACTGAAATATTTTTATTTATTATAAAAAGAACCCTATTCACGTCATACACGTTTATTACTGTATATTATTATAAATTATCATATAATAATATCATTATAAACTTGTCGAAAAAAATTATTCCTTTTTCATTTGAAAATACATAATAAAATTATTACGAAACATTTTCTCTCTATTATTGTAAATTTATATTAATTCATAGATATTTACTTTAATGAGATGTCTACCAACGGAATCTCATTTGACTTTACTTCTGGGCGGAGATTACAATGAATTTCTTGTACACTCACATAATAATATGATACTCGTAGTATTGATAGATGAAACGAATCCTCGACTTGATACCCTCCAGAAATTTGCCCTGTCAAATATTCCTATTTAATGTTCAAGAATTACAGTTTCACTCATTATCGTCGAGCGCACCATTTCGTGCTGGTGACATCTTCTCAACCTCTCTTGCGAGCTCTGTTAGAAGTAAATAATAAAACAACTTAATAAATATATAATTTTATAAATATATATATAATAATATCAAATGTCTCAAAACTGATGATACAAATAAAAAGGAAATGATTCTATATAAGAAAATAAGTCGAAAATATATAGTAATATAATAAAATTTTATTATATGAAAATTTGTTTCTTAGAAAAACGAATTTGATATTCAAATAGGCGTGCTTAATTATCTTTAGTATAGCCTAAATTATATGTTTTACTCATATTTATATTTTTTTGTATCAATTCGGACAGGTTACTTTTAAAGATGATAAAAATTTGTTTTGTTTCTTCTTCTTTTCGAATCTTTATATTTCAAACTAGACAATTAAATGGGGTCTTCTTCTTTTCGAATCTTTATATTTCAAACTAGACAATTAACAGGTCTACAAAAAGCAGTAGGTATTGTAAATTGATGAATTTTTTGACGCAGAAACGAAACTAGCTGCAAAATTTCCCTAGCACATCTGGTTTTCAA